AAAAATCAAAGAAATTAAGAACGTTTGATAGTATTTTCTCTACAATTTCAAGAGCTTTAGAAAGAATAACCTAGAATGAAAAAAGTGGGAATGAGTTAACTATTGGAAAAAAACTGCACTAAGCAATAACAGGTGGCTTATGAAAGAAGTACCAATTTATGCCTTGAAATTACCAAAATGGCCTTACTTGTCTATTTGTTGAAATTGCACGGTACAACTTTTGCAGCCAACGGTACAACTTTTGCAGCCATGTTGGTCCTTTCCAACTCTCACTTCTAAATAAGAGTAATAATAAGGGTAAGGTAATGATAGAACCCAAGGAGAAGCTGAAACAGAGCAATAATCACACATACATGATACGACTCAAATTTGAACTTGGAAAAGAGATTGTTACCTGAACTGTATTTGCTCTTTCTGCGTGTTTGGAAATTTCAACAATGGCAAAGCGCAAAATTTATTAATTTCCTGTAAATAAATAGACAAAATAAAGAAAAAATCAAAGAAATTAAGAACGTTTGATAGTATTTTCTCTACAATTTCAAGAGCTTCAGAAAGAATAACCTAGAATGAAATGGAGAAAGTGGGAATGAGTTAACTATTGGAAAAAAAACTGCACTAAGCAATAACAGGTGGCTTATGAAAGAAGTACCAATTTATGCCTTGAAATTACGAAAATGCCCTTACTTGTCTATTTGTTGAAATTGCACGGTACAACTTTTGCAGCCAACGGTACAACTTTTGCAGCCATGTTGGTCCTTCACAACTCTCCCTTCTATATAAGGAGGATAATATATGTCCTTTTGATTTTCATGCGCAAAGCCTGGTTACATCTTGTATGTATTACAAAAAAATTCCACCAGAGCTCCAGTGTCCTCTCTTTCACCCAATTCACTGCGGATGGTTGCTACTGCTATGCATTGTCTTCGATTGACTTTTGATTCCGATGACTCCATCGATCTTCAGGTACCACCGCCGTTCCTAATTTCGCCTTATTTTTTTGACGGAGTATTGGATTTTAAGGGCAACGTATAGTTTTCTAATAAGCGGACAGCCCCTTTTATTATCTTAGAATTTCAAAATTAGAGTGCGGGGAGAGGACTGTTGCTCTTCCTAATATCTCTACTCCTCAATCATGTTTGTGCTGTTAAATTTATGTTTCCTTGTTAGTCTAGTTAATTGTTTTCTCAAATTTCAGTTTCACTTTGAAAGAAGATCTGGGATTGAGCACCCATTATGGGGGGCAATGGACTTCAATAAGTTTCTGGGAATAGGTTTAGTTGGTTCCATATGTCACCCAACTAGGCATTGATCCTTCATCATATGCAAACCCTCGTGTATCATATTGTCTTTAAATTTTGTTTCCTTGTCATGTACAAAAATATTGATTGACCAAAATAGTTTGAGGTGAAAAGAAGCTTAAGGGATATATTGCAGATTGTCTAGGAACCTGACTACTAGGTTTCATAATTCATATAACGTAGGTATAATGACAAATATATGTTACATTGAGATATTCATGTAGGGATATATTTATCATTATCGTGATTGGTTGGAATAGTTCTTTTCAAGAAAATGTAAGCAAGGTATAGAACTCAAGCTTTTTGCAAAAGTTGGCTTTATAGTGTTAATAAAAAAGATTGTAGAGATTTGATTCTTTATAATGTGGATCTGACTACGTTGCAAGCTCTATTACTAGAAGTCTTAGACTTATCAGCATAAGTGGTGTTGCTGCGTGAATATGTCCAATGCAAATTCTGTGAATAATTTTTGATTGAAATGTAGTCAAAATCTTGTGGGGATTGGCTTGTAATGCACATCCAAATCAACTAGATAAAATATCCGGAACAGGAATCTGCAATGTTTTAGTTGGGCTTCTTCTACCCTGATGATTATTTAGGTGTGCCCTGTATTATGCTCCGGTGTTGCAGTTTTCGTTACTGAGGATGTCTTTCATCTATCTGTCACTTGCAGTAGTCCTGCCAGTTTGTTCTTTCACCTCTTGCATATCTCCTTTCTACTGAATTCTGATTAATAATTCTCCAAGGACTATTATTGTACTCTCTCATCTGTTTTTCCTGTGTATTTGCCATTCCTCTGTCAATTCTTGTTAGAAGTCCTGTGGTAACCCATACCTGAGGTTTATCTACATTATTTTTAAGTATCTGTATTTGCATGATATACAATGATTGTCCATAAGCCATTTCTATTCATCATATCTATTTTTATTTTCTTTTGTGAAAATAATTCAGTCACTGGAAGTTTGGAATGCAAAGAAGACTGGTAAGGTGGATGTCATCACTATTATGACCAAATCCAACAAAAGCTTATCTTTTTCTGCTGAATATGAAGTGCTATTTTCTTTTATAATCCGTATTGTCATAGTCCATAAGATAAGTACTAGCTTGTAGCAAACCTTTGTTCTTTCGTACTCTCTTGTTAATTTTGATACCTCAAAACTGTTCAGATTTTGGAGCAGCTGGAGAAAGTAACAAGCAAAAGTTGATTAAGGACAGTGATCCATTATGAAAAGAGCTATGGCTAGAATGCGAAAACCGCTTTTACCAAAATTTGATTTGAAACGTCATGCATTTTCTTAATCTATAATGTTGCAGTGGATGTCACAAAGTTAAACAGAAACACCCACGATCAGGTTATGTTGGAATTTAGCCCTTGAATGCAAGGATGACACACACAAATCGAGAAATGGTTCAATTTTTATGTAAGCAAAGAAAAAAAAAGACGTTGGAATATGGAAAAGTTGATTATGGCTTTCACTATTCAAAGTTTCATTTCTTCACTTTTACATCTATGATTTAACTCGACAAGAGACCTTACTACATCCCTCATTGCAGGCCTGGTGCTTGCCTCGAGTTCAGCACATTGAAGCGCTAGATACACCATTTTCAGGGCCTTCCATTGTTCTTCTATGTACCAAAAACTAATTTCTTCATCAAGCAAGTGAAGGAAATTGTTGTCGCTTCTGTGCAAGTTTTTCCTCACCCAGGAAACAATGTCTAATCCTTTTTCAAAGCTGGGGTCTACTGGCATTTTTCTGCAGAAGAGCTCCAGTAGAAGAACTCCATAGCTATAGACATCACTTTTCTCTGTCAATTGAACTGAGTACGCATTCTCTGAATTGATGGACAGACAAGGAGAAGGAGGGGGGACCGGGGGAGAAAATAATAAAATTTATTAAATCATCAAAAGTAATCTGCCAACTAAATTATTACTGAAGACTAGCATAGTAACGTGTGGCTAACCTGGAGCAATGTATCCTAGTGTCCCAACAATTTTGGAGTTTGTCGAGTTTTCATCAGAGTCTGATACTGTTTTAGCAATCCCGAAGTCTCCAATCTTTGGCTCCATCTCAGTATCCAGCATTACATTATCTGATTTGAGATCTCTGTGAATGATTTGAGGGACAGAATCATGATGAAGGTAAGACAGACCTTGAGCAACACCAAGAGCAATACGATGGCGGGGCTCCCAGTCCAGGACTACAGGTGGTTTTCTCTGGTGAAGGACATCATGAAGAGTTCCTCCAGGGATAAACTCTGTTAGAATGAAGCCATATCCATGTCTGGTGCAGTGTCCTCCCAATCTTACCAAATTGCGGTGTCTGACAGAATTTAGGCTTCTCATTTCATCGCTGAATGCTCTCTGAGCTAAGTCAACCTTCTTGACAGCCCAAAGCTTTTTGGATTTCGCAGATTCCATCTTATAAACAGTTCCATGCTTGCCTCTTCCAATTACATATTTTTCGCTCCAGCCTTCTGTTGCACGTACAATGTCCTCAAAATTTATACGATCTGGCAGATCTTCAATTTTTGCATGATACTTGACGAGCCGATGCTTATTCAGCAGGGAAGGGTGCTGAATCCGAGTCACTAGCAAGTATATTGCCGCAGCTATGACTGCCACGGAAAACACACATCCACTAATTACACCAGCCAAGGTCTTCCAGTTTCTTTGTGATTTTTTCACATGCTTGCAGCTGCTACTTTCAGTGTCTGATAAGCAGAGTCCTGGATTTCCCTGGGAAGTTCCTGGATGTGAACTTAATAGTTTTCCCCATGAAATGGGTACCTTCCCTGAAAAGTTATTAAATGATATGTTGAGAAACGAAAGGGACCTCATCTTGTCCATTTCTGATGGTATTGCTCCAGACAAGTTGTTGCTTGATATATCAAGGATTTCTAAATTGTCTAGATTGCTCAGACACTTAGGAATTTGACCACTAAACTTATTCATGCTCAGATTCAGTGCAACATTAGGTTCCCTAAGTTTACTCAGACTGCATGGAATTGAGCCTTCAAGCAAGTTGTCCCCGAGCTGCAACTTTACAAGCTTTTGTGAGGAGGAGAAAGTGTCTGGAAGAGTACCAGAAAGTTTGTTGTCCTGGAGTAGAAGATTTGTCAGTACTAAAGATGATGCAATTTCTTTCGGAATTCTTCCCGAAAGATTGTTGTTGCTGAGATCCAACTCTTCCAGTTTCGCAGAGTAACTTAACTGAAGAGGAATTTTTCCTGTCAGTCTGTTTGAAGAAATGTTCAGTCTTACAAGATTTTGCAGCTTCCCAATTTGGGCAGGTATGGAACCAGAAAACATATTCTCTGAAAGATCAATCGTTGAAAGATTGGTCCAATAACCAAATGCTGCTGGAATCCTTCCCGCAAGCATATTTCCCCGAACATTCAAGTAAGAGATGTTCTCATTCTTTTCAATGTAGTCAGGAATACTCCCCTGCAGATTGTTGTTGGGGACTTTTACCCTATAGAGGGATTCACATTTTGCTATATATGTTGGGAAGCTTCCATTAAAACTGTTGTTTTCAAGAACCAGGACTCCAAGCCTGTTGCCATTACATAGTTCAGAAGGAATTGGTCCACTGAAGTTATTATAACCTAAATCAACCTTAAATAACCCAGGAAAATTGTTTTTTCCAATATTAGGTGGTACCTCCCCTGTAAGATTATTATGAGCCAAAGAGAGTAACACAAGTTTCGTCATATTTGTGATTCCAGGTGGTATCTTGCCGATCAATCGGTTCTCACTAAGATCCAGCTCCTCCAGTCCACTTATTCTGCCAATGCATTCTGGAATTTGGCCCTGAATTTGATTTCCGTACACTTGAAATTTTATTAGGGAGTGAAGGTTGCAGAGCTCTTGAGGAATTTCCCCACCGATGAAGTTAGTGGCGAGACTTATCGCAACAAGAGAAGTGCAGTTCCCAAGTTCTGCTGGTAATGAACCACTAAGCATGTTATCATACAGAAAAAGCTTGTTCAGATTCTTCAGACGTCCAACTGATCTTGGAAGCTGACCAGTTAATTTGTTAACTGACAAATCAATGTAATTTATCTGAAGAGAACCACCAATCTTTTCGGATATACTACCATTAAATTTATTCAAGGAAAGAGCTAACTCTTGTAAGCTCCCATCCCATAAGGTCTCAGGAATTCCCCCTTCAAAGTTGTTCTCATCCAAATAGAGAAATTCAAGATTTGAAAGGTCCCTAAAAACCTCTGGTGAAATAACTCCTCCAAGATGAGCAGATGATGCAGAGAATGAAGTAAGGTTGTGACAATTGCCTAGGGTAATTGGCAAAGAACCTGAGAACCGGTTCTCATAAATAAAGAACTCGGAAAGGGAGCACGAGAATGGGAAGTCGGGTAGAGGTCCTGTCAGCTCGTTTGTGTAGAGGTGGAGATGTGTCAAGTTTGGCAAATCAAATAGCTCTTTTGGAATATTTCCACTAAGGAAATTGTTCCACAGCCCGAGATGTTGAAGGTTTGTAGAAAGGCTTACCTCAGAGGGAATAGTGCCAGTGAGCTGGTTTAAACCCAAATCAAGTTTTATGAGTTTGCTTGATTTGAAAATCTCTGGTGGGATGGATCCTGAAAATCTGTTTTCATTGAGTAGAATCGTGTCAAGTTGGCTGCAGTTAGCAAGCATATCAGGGATGCCACCAGTGAAATGGTTGCCACTGAGATCAAGAGAAACCAAGCGAGGAAGACGGCAGAGATTAGGAAAGGCCTTGTCCAAGGTTCCAGGTAGCAATAAGTCTGTTAGAATCAATGATTTGACATGAGAAGTTATGTCTGAATAGCAGGTAACACCTTTCCATCGGCAGTGTGAGACAGACTGATTCCAAGGGAGCAATTGTTGAGAGAGCTCTGGAAGACTGCTGTGAAACCCAAGTAGATGAACAGAATCTTGAGGCGATGAGGTCGAAAAGACTGCAAATAAATTGGCAAAGAAGAAAAGGCAATTAACCAGAAACAAGAACATCTCTGACCTCTTAAAACACTGAGCTGCTAGTTCAAGAACTAATTTTTGGGCTGAGGCGCCAGAGAATGTTGTTTCATAATATGTGTCCTCAGCTAATCATATGCTTAATTAGTGTGGTATTTGGTAATGAATGACTTAGGAAACAACCAAAATAGGAGAATATTTAATGCTTTGCTTTGGCTGGTTGTTCAATAATTCTTAATGAGGGAGTCAGTCTCTGTCAGTTTTTTTTTTTTAATATAATACAGCACGTTTTTAGATCCATACTGCGATTATTTTATTGTCTGTCGGCCATGCGCATTTCAGGTCTTCAACCCACTCAGAGAGAGTCCACATTTCCTTGATACATTTCCGAAACATTCCTTTTTAAATGGACGAAATACAATACAAAAAAAATAAATGAAAATTGAGGTTTATGAGAAACAAATTGGATCTAAAAATTTACACATATTTTGGCCTTGAGCTCTGTTGCCCCTCTTCCCTCCAATTAACTTCCATGCTTGATTTTCCCTTGAGGAGATTATATCAATCAAATATTTATGTTCAGAAATGAAATTGTAAGTATTTCAGATGCAGTAATTATTATTGTCTTCTATAAGATGAGTTTGCTTTTGATTCTCATGACTCCATCAATCAACTGGTGCAATGTCATTCGTAATTTCACTTTTTTTCTGTTTCCTCGTTTCTAATTGCTTCTGTACCATCGAATCTTCTAGTTTTCAACTGCATGGACTTCCGCATTTTTTAGATCTTAGAAAAACTCTAACATTAGAAATTGCTGCTTATTTTCTTGTGTTTGGAATGTAAATTGATTCAGAGTTCTCTTCAATTTTGATTAGAAGAAACTTTAGCCTGTCTTTAGGTGTGTTTGGTAGGAAGGAAAATAAGTGTGTTTGCTGCTTATTTCTTGTGTTCTGTGAGCAAGCAAAAAATATATTATCCTAAAAGCACTTCAATATAATCTAGACAAAAAAGGGAGGTGGAGGTGGGGGTAGGGGTGTGGGGACGGGAAAATGTTTTCCAAAAAAATTGACTAATCGAACATGTAAAAATTGAAAAATGTTTTTCTCTATACCAAACACATTTCTTTTATAAACTCATTTTAATTATTCTCTAAAAGCACATCATTCTGAGATGGTTACATCTCTTGTTGCAAGTGTATCAATTCTTAAAAGAATCTGAAGTTGAGAATTAAGTGGAAAACAACTAAAGATCGATCTTTTGGCACATAAGTGCACTTTGCTAAGGGAAGAAGGTTGGGAATTGGGAGGATTGACCCCAAAATGGAAGCTGCAGCTCTACAAGACTGGGACTTGTCAACATATATGGTGTTGCCGTATGAAAACAATTTCAAGGTAATTTCTGGTAAGTAATTTGGTGTTGCCATCATCTTGTTTGATCAAAATCCAACAAGAGCTCATCTTTTTTCTCCTGTTTCTCTTTCAAGTCTTTGAATAATTTTTTAGAACCCGTGATGTAGTAATCTGTAAGATCAGGACTAGATTGTAGCAAAGTCTATCGGAAACAGTCTCTTTACCTCACACAAGGTAGGGGTAAGGTTTGTGTATATTCTACACTCCCTAGACCCCACTGTAGGACTACATTGTTGTAAATTTGGTTTTCACTTATCCTAGCTATTCTT